CAACGTTCTGCTGCTAAACATTTTTGAGTTATGTGAGATACGTATGTACAAACATCACGAAAAAATGCCTTTTGAATTCACTTTAAACCACTTTTACAATCCATTGGTAAAAGAGTCCTTCATTCTGTTCATACGTACAGAAGTCATGCAAAAAGTCGTTCAAATGTATTCTGGAACGGCCAAAATGAATATTTTCGTTTAAATATGATACCCGAAATTTTTGGCGATTAGAGTACTTCCTTTACTTCGTAAAATGGCTAAATGAGGCAAGTATAAAACTCATTTCTTGAAAAACAAGGACAGGTAATAAATGTAGATCCTATTGATTCACGCGCTGAGTTGAGAGACCAATTGATCCATTGATGCCAGAGAGTCAAAGAACCGTTTATCCATTTATGTCAAAGTCTTCAAGGCGCTGAGTCAAAAAAAAAAAAAAAAAAAAAAAAAAAAAAAAAAAAAAAAAACCATCGATCCATTGACGAAGAGCTCGAATTGGCTGTTTTATGCCATTCAAGTTCTTTTATTGAGCTGTCAGACAGCACTCTGTTCAAGGCTGAGTTTTATTCATAATTGCTAATTGCGCATTTTTGATGATAATGTTTAAATGGAGGGATGGGTTTGAACCATGACTTTCTTGCTAAGTAATGTTTTGTGTAAAATTATTAACCTGTGGGGAAACTGAAATAAAACGAAGAAAGAAATTTAGTAATTGCGCTTAATAATAGTTGTATGTAACTTTTAATATTTTTTAATTAAAGTTACCATTAACTACTTTTGATAAATGTGGCAATGCTAATCAATCTTTCTGAATGATTCACCAATCAGTTTTTACATTATTTTGAGATGTGATAAATGTTTTTTCTTATCACACCGAAAAAAGCGAACAGAACATTTCGTTTCTTGAAGTTCGTTATAGCGGGGCTTGGCTGTATACAGTGGGTAAAAAAAGTATTTGCACACCTACATTTTTGTTTGCAATTCATAAAAAGAAGCATTAAGAAATAAAAAAATTGTATTGCCAAATCAGAATAAGTTTAGTCATCCAAAACAAACAGAAAAATTAGAATAATATAAATAACAATGCTTTTTTGTAAAAAAATTAAAATATCTCATCAAAAAAGTATTTACACACCTGCATGAATACAAAAGAAATAAAATATATAAGCAAATTTCAAATAACTAATATTTAGTATGCATGCCTTTAGCATCTATTACTGCTTGTAATCTTGCTGGCATTGATTTAATAAAATTTTCTGTAACAGTAGGCTCAGTATTCGGTCACCCTTCAATAAGGGCTTGTTAAAGGGCAGATTTGCTTGAAATCTTCCTTTTTCTTATTTTTAAATCCAAAGAATTCCACAGATTTACCAAAGAATTTAAGTCTGGTGATTGTGGTGGAGCGGCAAGTTTTCTGGGTACATTATAAAGCAACCACATACGAGTTATATCGGCAGTGTGCTTGGGATCATTGTCTTGCTGAAAATAGTACGAATTACTGATACCCAATTTTATTGCACTTTGTGGCAGGTTATCTCGCAACACATCAATAAAAGTTCGAGCTGTCATATTCCCATCAATGAAACACAAATTACCAATTCCTTTGCTAGCCATGCACCACCAAATCATGACAGACCTCCTCCATATTTAACTGTAGGTAACACATTTTGGGTATGAAAGCAGCACAAGGTTTTCTCCAAACTAATTTTCTGCCATCTGATTTAAAGATATTGAAACTACTCTCGTCGGAGAATATGACATTTTTCCAGAAATCGAATTGGCTTATTTATATATTCCTTAGCGAATTCAAGTCTCTTCAGTCTATTTCGTTCAGTTATGAGAGGTTTTTTTTCCTTGGTGATCTCCCATAAATGTGTGCATCGTGCAGGACATTTCGAACACTTTGGGCACAGATTTGAACTCCAGATGTTGAAGCGACATCATTGGCTAAAGTAATTGCACTAACAAATGGATTTTTTGATGCTTCTCTTATGAATTTTTCGCTTCATTCGCAGTGAAAGTTTCTTTGGGCGTCCAGAGCGCAGAGTTATTTGATGTAGATCCTCTTTCTTTATAACATACCGAATAGTAGAGAAGCAAAATATTTACTTTTTTACCTATTTCTCGATAACTTAGGCCATTTTCACGTAGAGAAAAAAAATTTTTCTCGCAAACGAAATCGGCAATTCAGATTTCTTAGGTGCCATTACAATTTGAATCGACAATCAACTGATAACGTTTCGACAACACCTCCTTTATAGTCGTCTTAAATATACGTTATTTACTGCGGGATGACTGTCAAATAATAGCATAAAAATGCAAATTTGCTAAAGTTGAGTTGAGTGTGCAAATATTTTTTTGACATAAGCTATTTTAATATTGTTGCAAAAATGTTTTTTTATTAATATATTGTATTTTTTGTAATTAATTTAAATGAATAGGCTTATTCTATTTTTTAAATGCCAATTTTTGTATTTATTAATGCATTTTCTTATAATTGTGAACAAAAATGCATGTGTGCAAATACTTTTTTTGACATAAGCTATTTTAATATTGTTGCAAAAAATGTTTTATTAATATTATTGTATTTTTTGTAATTAATTTAAATGAATAAATAGGCTTATTCTATTTTTTAAATGCCAATTTTTGTATTTATTAATTCATTTTCTTATAAATTGTGAACAAAAATGTATGTGTGCAAATACTTTTTGTACCCACTATATGTCATTTAGATCAAATCATTAGACGCAAATGCGATCCTCTTTCCGTTATGCAGTCATTGCATAAACATGAAAACGAGAACAATATTTTCCTTTTTCTAGATCTTCCACCACAGTTTTGGTAGCACTTTTTATTAATTTTATTAGCTAACATTTGAATAGAATAGTATCCATTTTTCAGCAACAATTGCCGAACATTTTCTATTTTCTCATACATTGGAAAGTGCGAAGGATGACCACTGTTGGGGTTCAACACCATGCCAAAAATAGTTACGTAAACATCTTCGCAACCATCACGAAATCATTCGTAAGCATTTGATCGTGTTAGTTAATAATTTATCCCCATATACTTTGTGCACCATTTACACAATATTTTAAATATTTTACAAAACATTTTAAATGACTTTTGCTGGTTTTATCGCTTCACGAGAAAACTTTATATGCTGTTCTTTGCTGAACCTTAGAATCCATAACAGCAGATGTTCGCTGCCGATAATTATATCAGCAGTGTTAGTGATTTGTTCATCAACTACTGTTAGACAAGACTTTTCAGCAACAATTTTCGAACTGTATGGGTGCTGCGATGAGCGACCATTGTTAAATTTAGGATTTTCGTGTACATTATGCAGTCGTCCTTACCAACAAAAACATTGGATTTTTTATTAATACTTGATGCCCATAGGTTTCCTTGATGTCATATGTTTCTTTGATGTCCTTATATTTTTTTGACGTTTGCATGTTGCCTTAATGCCATTATACAACATGTCAGTTGTCTCTGTTGCTGTGTTTCCCTCTCTACTGCTAAACTGTACTGCTATTCTTTGCACAGCGCTCGAATGGTGATGTTCGAACAGATGTTTAATGGATCAAAGCCACGATCAATTACATAGAAACAAATGTTCGTTAGCAGAAATATGCTTTCCATCTGAGGCAAAGACGTAAATACGTGCTTCTATAATAAAAGTAAATGAAGTGTATCTGTACTCTTTTATATTCGACAAAGGTAATTATATTGAATCATACCATACTCTAATAATAATATTACTAATTGCAACGTTAAAAGCATTCTTAACATAAATTTCGAATTCAGATATGATTGAATTATATTCTTGCTTTAGCATCCAGAATTGCTCAAATAACGTAGTATTTAAAACTAAAATACCTAAATCTAATAACATTAAATTTTCGCAAGTCAAAAATTGGAAATCGGAAATTATCTCTATTTTAATTGGGGTATTAAAATATTTTTCATTTCTACTAGGAAACATTTTTTAAATATAGCTCATAATCTGATTTGTTAATCTTTCGTTTTCATTTCTTTTCATAGTCTATTGCTAAAACTATTTTTAAAGCTAATGTCTGAATGATAGTTTCTTTCATTTTTCCTAAAGAAAGAAAGAAAGAGATAATCAATCTATTATGATTTTTCCATACGGCAAACATAAATTTACAATGCTTTTTTTTTCAATACGGTAAAGCACATGAGCGCTATTTGCCAAAGGAAAATGATACATTCGTGGGGTACATTCTAAAGGAAACTAGTTAATATTTACATTACGCATGGGGAAACCCCATGAAAATAATCATGCCGTCAACTCATTTCCTTGTGAATTTCTTTATTAAAAGTTCAGTTTTATGTGTAATTAAAGTTCGGCTTCATTTAATTTTTTGTTAACTGCAGTATTCAATTTTAGGCATAAAATATTCAAGTGAATTCCTTTAACAGGATATTAGTTTCAGTTCATTGAAACGATTTATTATTTGATGTCTTGTATAAATTTGAAGCGTCTATATAAACATAAAATAATAGTAACGAGCTGAAAATTAAATAAGATACAAGATAATAATTTTATTGTCTCGCTTTTTAAATAAATTGATAACAATGAATAAAGTTTATTAATTGATTAAGGAAAGGTGAATGTGCAAGTGTTAAGTAGTAGGTAAGGTTCTTATTGTTCCCTTTCTTATTGTTCTAAAATGATATTTTAAAACGGGGCTTCTCGATGCATTTCAGAATTGGAAATTAACAACCATAATTTATTTTTCTAATGTATTTCTAAAATTTTGCCGCAAATGTGGCGCTTTTCCTAGCTGTTCACCTGAGGCAAGTGTCTCATCATTTTCCCGAACTGTGTATACAGTAATTTAGGAAAAGGAAATTGAGATGCCACAGTAATAAATTACTGCTTGGTAGGTTTACTGGAATTTGTTAAAGAAAGTGGTGCTAAAAGTTTGTAGATTCACTGCATGCAAAAGAAGTATCTAATCAAGTGATTTTTATAGATGAAAACAGAGGAAAATGAAGGGCGTCCCAGCTCCAGCCCTCCAAACCGTTATCAGCGAGTGTTTCTTCAGTCATGCCTTCTCATGATTTTCATCTTCTTCATCTGCTATACGTGCGTACAAATAGAATACTCTCGCTCTACTTCCATGGAATCATACGAATGGAATTTAACAAATATCGTTCATGGAGCAATGAACAGGATTCGAAATGCCATTCCGTATGCAACGAATGAAAGGTAACCGATTTTTTATATACTTTTTGTGCAGTATTTAAAAGATTTGTAATACACGGAATAAGTCAAAAAGAGTCATTCTCTTACAAATAATTAAAAACAGTTTAGTTGGTACATATTTGCTTAAGATACATCAATGTGTGATATGTATTTGGCGAGAAAATTTTGACAGTCGAGTTTTGAAAATTTTCAAATGCTTTAGATAATATGTTTGAGCGTGAAAAAGTGGGATCTTCCACCAACAGTCACCAGTCACTAACGGCCGTCATAGAGCTTGTTTGCTGAATGAAATGCTTGTCCTGCCTCAAATGACAGGGGATTCTGAAACTGCCCCTTAACGGAGGTTTTACTACAATTGCGAAATAAATCATTAAATGGTAAATTTAGATACGAATGGATAAATTAGGCACTCAAAAGTAATAATACCTGTTTGTCCATAAAAAATTAATTGGATTATATTGATTACGGCGAAGTAACGAAGGGTTTTCTACTTAGGAAAATAATGCTTTGCTGGTTGAAAAATTGAAAGAAAAAAAAAAAAAAAAAAAAAAAAAAGTTGACTAAAATCTGTTCATTTTGAAGGTAGAAAATCGGGGATTATTATCTCACATAGGCATCCATGGAATCACGACAGGACAAAGTTTTGTATACTCTCATCCTCATCAACGACCCTTCCTGTGTTGTTTGTTATGCTGGCTGAGATCTGTTCTTCAGCAGTCACGGTTGGTAAGGAGGTTACAAAATACATAAGCCTGTTTTTTTCTATCCGAAAGTGTAGAGCGGGTAGCATGACCGCCAGACTTCACCGGTTTCAGCAAGCTCGACACCCGTTTTAGAGTGTCCGAGAGGTAAAAGTTCACCCCCTGGTACTGGGGCCTCCTTGGATGTGGCAAGTGTGATTCAACGATTTTCTTTGGGAGTCTGCGAACCTGCTGCTCTTTCCTAATAATGAAAACGATCAAGGTGAGCCATGTAATGCGGTCTAATAAGACGCTCGACACCATTAAAATACTTTCATCTTTCACTTCTGCCGCCAGTCCGCTGAGAAATATCCTGATTATTTGCCAATGCAAAACTCTTACCAGCTTCCACGATTCAAGTATTAGCTTCAACGATAACAAGTATGCTAAATTTGAGATGGTACACAGATTAACATGTATCCTGTGCTAGGATGATACGACAACGATTGCTTCGCTGATTTTGTGAGTGAGGTAGCTATTTTGACAACAGCTGTTGGCTCTGACAGTGAATGCTGACTTCGGGGAGAGGTTTGAGGCTACTACAGCTCTAAAGTCAACTACAGAACTGACTGTTTTCCCACAGAATTAAAAGCGTTTGGGGGTATAAAGAGTGTTATTTAGAGATTTTAGCTTCAATGTTACTTCTAATTGTCGTGAAACTTGACAAGAAATGTCGGGTTCAGCGGTAGGCGCCAGTAAAAGTTTAACACTTAAAAAATGGGGATAAAGAATCCTTTTCGCTTTCTGTATCTGTTGCACAGAAAGAGCGAATGCGTCTCTTCCCTTATGAGAAGCGAGCCGCGGCTCGTAACAGACATGCTTTTTGAAAAAGATCTTTTTATGGGTGAAGGTGTGAAAGCCTGTAGGCTAAAATTTATTTTGTTGTAGGAGGTAAACGGATGCGATGGATTTGGCGGAAAACGTGATTGGAGCATTGGAGTCATTTATTGTTTATCTGTTCTTTGAACTATGATGCAAATAGAAGAAGAGTAGAAAGACGTTTTGTCGAAGCGTGATGTATCTCGGAGAACTCCCCACATCGAACGAGAAGAAAATACCCTACTTGTCTTTCATGGGGCGCTGTAGAAAATATGTGCGGCACCTAGCTTTAATTGGCTCCTAAAAGGTTGTTGCGTACTGTGACTGACCAATTAAGTTCAAGTGAATTGTGATTGCTTCAGAAAATGCCGTTTAATTAATAATTATGTCGAGAGTTAAATAGGAGAGTTCTCTCAGAAAAAAGAAGAGACTGGTTTTGATTTGGTTTGGGTCAGATGAGAAATTACTGAAAATGAAGAAGAAAATGCAGGTGATAACTATAGTTAGCTGTGTAGGTTTTTGAGATGAGAAAGAACATTTTATTGGAGATTACCAGTAGAAGTGTATTTGTAGTTTTCGAGATAGAAACGAATTTATGGGAGATGACTTGCATTCAATTGATATGTAAGAACTACTGTCCGTGGTGTTGAACTATCTCAGATTTATAGACGTTTAAGATGGAGTGTTCCGAATTACAGCCCTCTTAGTGAACACCGAGAGAGAATGGTTCCTGTCCTACAGTGAAGAATTCCAGTTTTACAGATGGTTAAGAAGTGACTGAGTAAAAGTTTCTGACCTATAAGGAGAAAGTATTCCGATTTTGCTGACATTTAAACGAAGGGGGAGAGGTGAAGGTTCCTGACTTACTTTTTTTTTTTTTTTTTCTTTACGTATTATATAAAGACTGTTAAAGACTGTTCCGAACTCAAAGAATATCAGCTTCTGGCTGCGATTTATGATCTGCAGTTATCTCGGCGTCGTGTTCCTGTTTTCCGACGTGTGATAAAGTGATGGTTCCGAACTGATATTTAACGTGTTGGAGATGGGCGGCTCCCCTTTACAATAATAACTAACAATATTAAAAACTGTCATTGACTTAGGACAGGCTACATTAATACCTGATCTGGCAGCCTATAGTGGTAAAATTGATTACATAAAATTTGAATTTTTTAAATCTCCAATAACTATTAAGGAGTTTTGTCGAGATTAGAATACTTTATTTGAAAGTTTATTGTGAATTTAATATGTTAACGTGTTGCTTAGGAATGAACATGTGTAAAAAAATGAATACTTTTATAGCTAAGATTATTTTTTCTGTCCACGACAGTACAGAACTGTATTGTATAAGTTGAACTAATTGAGTTAAATATTTATGGCTCTACGTAACTGTCAAAATGCTCATTAGGAAGTAAGATTAAAAATTTGCATTTTATCAATTTTTAGCAGCTAATTTTTGCACCTTGTTTTCAGCTACTTAACGAGAGCTTTGTTGAAAAAGAACTTCATCTACAATAAGTGCTTTTCTTAATGGGCTAAGTACAAAAGTGTTTAATGATAGTGTACAGAAAATTGTCTCCTGTAAGCAAGTTCTCGGTGTTCAGATGCCTATTGAGGAATAATAGCTTGAGATACAATATATTTCCAAAATAGAAAGGTGTCGTTCAATTTATCTTTCATTTATTTTTCATAACTAAATGGATACTACTTACTGGACGTGATGATAACATATCAATAATAACTTCAGTTAGAAATTTTAAGTTTGAAATTAGGCTTTTGATTGAGTATATGACGTGGATATAAGTAATGCTTATTATTTTGAAATATTGGCTCATGTATAGAACCATTATATATCTTGCTTAATAATTATTTAAATAATATTCTTTTTCAGTAGTTTAATTAAATGCGATAATTGCATTTCCCACAGTTTCTAGGTTAATAAATAGAAATAGTTCATTTTTATACTTTTTGATGTTTATTTATGTTACAGTAAATGTTTCCTAACGATAAATCTGTATACGGTATAAATTTTAACTACAATTATATGCAGAATGGTATGAAAATTGTTTCTGAGGGGGGAGGGGTTAGTGTCTAGTTCTAATGTAAAATTAGTTTTGTTATGAGAAATCCAAGAAAATTTATAAAATTGCTCCATTCAGGTTTCTTTATAACGAAGTGGAATGCTTAAATTTGAGAATTTCATTTCAAAGTTTTGAACTACGTTTGATGAGTTCTCTTAATTTCAGACTTGATAAGTTTCATTCGGATTAGCTGAAACTTCCTATTTTAACCTGTTAAAAATGGCATGACAGAAACTAATTTCTGCCATGGTAGTGTCAATGAACAAGATAAAACTTATAGAATAACTGAAAATTGATCGAATTGATTGTAAGTTCTTAAGTAATATATATTTAGAAATAAAGCAAGTCAGCAACAGCAACTTTTGGAAGATTTATTCAGAGATTAAGTAGCATTATATCACCACTCAAGTTCAGTCTACTAACTTACATAAGTTAGTTTGAAGCAGATGTTTAATTTGATAGCTATTCCAAAGAATTTGTATAGTTATTAGGAATAAATGAAATGCTGTAGAATATTCTTTCAAATCCAGCAGTACCAGCAGGCAGTACTATTGTGAAAAAAAAAAGTTAAGAAATCTTCTTTTACAGCTATTTTCTAAAACCCCAATGCAGAAGTTAAAACAATCTGTAAGACTTCATTGAAATGATATGTATGAGGAAAAGTTCGATTTTGTTCGAAAAGCCGTAAGGCACAGAATGTGGGATTTTGTTACAAAGTATTGCCGTAGCTCTTTCTTGCTGCTTACTAAACAACTGAAATCCCACGTTCTTTTCGTGAAGCAAACTAGCTGTTTTGTGTTTGTTAAAAATAGCGTAAAGAAGTAGTACTAATTCAAAATACACCAGTTAAAATATTTTATTAATTAGTATTACGAATAGCAATGCGATATTTTAAATGGATTTAAACTGCTGCCGTTTTTCTTCTTTCAGATCATTTTCATTTAAGTTGCTGTCATTGGTAATACCTGCCTTAACCAGTGACCACCAGTTAGTGCCACCGCCAAGGCAAAAACTAAATTTAGCCGGTAGAAAGCCAGCTTTGCTTTCTAACAGAAACCAAAGCTATATAGCGGAATACATTATTTTTCATGATCACTGAACTTCGTACCACTTTTTTCATGTAAAAATGCCGTTTAATATCCATCATATGTATGTAGGTTTTCAATTTATCTCTTTTCTATTTCAGGAAAAGTAAGCTCATATTACTCTGGACAAAGTATTTCAGCGAAAGTGACTGGTTGCCTAACACGAATGAACTTCAGTGTCCCATCAAGGAATGTGTAGTTACTTCTGACCGCTCTTTTCTCAGTCGCAGCTCTGCAGTGATATTGCACTGGCGAAACGTGGACCCGAACGATTTACCAGTGTGCAAATATCCGAATGGAGCGCAGACTGGCAAATGTCCTTTACTGGTTCTATTTAATAAAGAAGCTCCACCCCACACGCCAAGAGAAAGAATTTTACCACTAAAGGGAAAAATTCATTGGACAGCAACCTATAGAAGAGATTCGGATCTGTATGCTTCTTACGGAACCATTCTAAAAAAGCAAAAGAAGTATAATTTTACAGGTAATAAATGATACTCAAAAGACCATTGCGAACTAGATTCCATTCTCAATTAACTCTTTTGAAGTGCAATATAAAGCTTCAAAACTCTAGGTTCTAATGATCTTATCGTTGCATCAAGGTGGCAGTATCACAGATCTCGAATCAGTCAGTCTGATGGCCCTAGGCATAGCATTCTCTCAGGATCTATCAATACTTTATCTCAATTCTGCTTGGTTAAAAAACAAAGTTATGAGAAAGCATACAATGATTGGAAGTCCCCTTTAAAAGCCCAGGACCATAGGTCCGAGCCTTATGGACTTAGGCGGGCGGAAATAGTCCTTGATAGGTAGTAATGAGGCACATTGCAGTCCTTACAAAATTTTAGTTTATATTGATACATACATAAAATTTAAAACAACATTAATGCAAAGCAGGATTGATATGATAAATATATAACCTACACACAAGACTGAAAAAGGGATCTATTTTCTGCAATCTTTGATTCTTGAAATATGACATTGTGCTTGATTACGTGGATTTATTATTTTGCTAGATAACAGTTCTTTCCTTAACTTCATCATGGTCTAAAAGGTTTATTAAACTCACACGACCTTTCAAAATTAATTTTATGAGATCACTGAACCATGAAAACTGTCTTGTCTTTTCTACTTTTTTTGGGGGGGGGGGGAGGGGTGTAAAAGGTGATTTTTTTTTTTTTTTTTTTTTTTACTTCTTTCGGTTAGTGGTACAGCCTTGGACAAAAGTATTAGGCATCCTGCAATATTGCATTTATTTTTAAATAGTTCCGAGATAAATAAAAAGAACCAAACATTTTAAAATTTACATAAGCAATATCGCAATTTAAATATTTGATGTTATAGGGTCTCAGTCTTTTGAGAAGCATAAAATGTAGACCCTACGTAAAAGACGAAGTAGCGAATACACGTTATGTCTTTGAAGAATAGATACTGCAGAAAGTTTTAAATAACCTTTTTATTTAAACTAAACTAAACAAGATGTAATCACTCGGGGCTCACAATTCATCAACACTTGTGGCTGAACTAAATTTAACAGAAATAAAAATGTAACAAATCATAATAAATTTGAATGGCTAACGACTGGCTTCTTAGTTTTCTAAAAGACTAAATCGGTTGTACGCAGCAAAGCCGAGTCTAGGATATCAGTATAATCTGATGGATGTTTAACACTTACTAGAGAACTAATTACAAATACGCAGCATCAACTCGGACCTAACTCCGCTATTACTCTTTTCGAATCTTGAAACGCAGCTTAAATACTGCTTCTGAACCACGTTTAGATTTTGCATACTAAGTCATTTAAAATTTACATTCCTGCAGGAAACTGAAATCAAGAGGAAAAGGAAAGTAAAACTGAAAATAATTGGTTAGAATAAAATAAGTTCCTTACAAGGGAAGATGCTTCGATATTAATGATGATGATATCAATGGGCTGTTTTACAGGATTTATGATTTTATATCAAAATTTTAATTAATCTAATCTTTGATTACAGGAGAAAGCTAGCTCAAGATCTCATACTGAACCGAGATAATACTGAGGATTTAAATTATGCCTGTCGATTTTACCAGCTATGATAAAAAGAAATATGGCAGAGGTTTCATTTGCAGTACTGGAAAAAGAGATTTTGAAAGAGAGAAGACATTTATGAACAGAGCCTTGAAAAGTAGCTATAAAGAGTTTTTTTCGTCTGCGTACTTTGTACGCAAATTTGATAACTCAGTGGACGAACATAAAGTAATAGGTTCTCCTTCTTTCGATGGGACAAGAAGGAGCTTTATATCCGTAGAAAGAAGGAGCTTTATACCCGTAGAAAGAAGGAGCTTTATACCTATAGAAAGAAGGAGCTTTACAATGTTTCCACCTTTAGTTTTAATCGCAACTTTGCTGTGCATACTAAACTTCCCCTTTATGCCATTTCAAACTTGCTTAAGAGTAAGCACCTTTTAGGAAAACTTCGGATGTTATTACGTTTTGGCATAGCTTTCTCTTTAGAAACCCAACAACACACAGATGTTTCATAGGGTTAAATTCTGGAGACTATGATGGTCAGTCTAAAGCATGAATGTTATTATAAAGATTCCTCTGCACAGAAGACGCTGATTTGTGGCATGGTGCGATATTTTGCTGACATTTGACGGAGTCATGCCTGTAGTAATCAATAATTTACACTATAGTCGTTCTACAGCGGTTTCAAAAACTTCGTTGTGTTTGTGGCTATTCTTGTGAAAACTCTGCAAATACGCACACACACAAAAATAGCACAGCTCTTTATATCTCGTTCTCGAATTGATGAAATTTAATTTACGTTTGTCACGTCTCGCAAGCGCGACTTAGGATATGTATTAGATTTATATATAGCATTGTTCTAACGTACGTATTTTGACACAAAAACGAACTTTTTCTGAAAAGACATACCGATGTTTTTTAATATTTCGGTTCGACGACTCAATTAATGCCTAAATATTAAATTCTGTAAAATTTGGTAAGAAGCTTACGGATGAAGCTTACGGATGATTTACCTTGGCGCACCTTTTTCAGTTTGTGGCCAGAAGAATTCACAAGGCGAAATTCTTAATTTATAGTAATGTATTCTCCTTTTCCTTTCATTGTGCACGATGAAAGAAAAAACGTCCTTTGCCCATTCTTTCAAACAATTTTAACATACATTCAAATAATTTTAAAGAAGTGTGTAAACCCCATTTTGCGTTATTATCACTTCTCGGCCAGAGGGTGGACTGACCCTTCAGGACACTTACATAATTCCAAAACGATTCAATATATAAATTCATGTATATCTTGGGAAATTTTGAATAAGAATCCCTAGAAATACTTAAAGGTGATGGTAAAAATGTTTTAGATTATAGTTCAGAAATTTCGGAAAAGTGATAAATATATCTAAATAAAACAAACTTTAAAAATAAATCAGAAAATATCTGTGAATTTTATTTGGATTGAATGTAAATTTCGAGCTGTGAAAGAAGGAATCAAGTAAGTTTAATAAAAAAAAAAGCAAGAGATTACTAGAAAAATCAATTATCATTTAGAGCTAAAATTTTGAGATCTTTTGTTTTAAAAACTACTCGGGCGATTTTTTATAAAACATGGCACTTTGCGTAATTTGAGTCGTAGAATCGAAATATGGGAAAAAATCGGTATGTCATTTCAGAAAAAAAATCCGATTTTGTGTCAAAACAATTACATTAGAATAACAATGTTATATCCGAAGTCGCATTTTCGAGGCGAGAGAAACGCAAATTAAATTTTTTCAATCGGCCCAGTAGAACGGGAGGTATAGATGGAGCTGTCCCTTTATTTATTTATTTTAATTTTTATTATTATTTTCTTTCTTTTTGTACAGAGTGTACATTTTGCATACACCACTGGTGCCATGAATCCCCATATCATAATACTGTATTCGCCATTTTTACACTAGAAACTACTAAGAAAAAATTATACTTTTATTTCAAGAAACTGATTTGTTCCAAAAGCATTTGAGCATGTTTGAAAAATTATTTTTGTGTAAAAGAGTAGCAAAACTGAGTTTACCTTACCTGAAAGTTACATTCATCAGAGAACATTTTACTATTCTTCTTTTGTAAACTGTGGAATAAAGCCCCATATATATATAAATTATCGTAAGTTTGCTGCAGATCAGAGGAAACTGGTTGCCCGATTATTGCTAAAGCTGTGAGAAGGAGTTTCTATCAGCTGGCATGAAAGGTAGCTACAAAGTAGCCATGCCTCCCAGAAATATATATATATATATATATATATATATATATATATATATATATATATATATATTATATATATATATATATATATATATATTATATATTATCAATACAATATATAGTATATATATACATTATATATATATATATATATATATATATATATATATCATATATATATTGTCTTGGAGGCACGGCTTCTTTGTAGTACCTTTCATGCCAGCTGATAGAAACTCCTTCTCACAGCTTTAGCAATAATCGCGCAACCAGTTTCCTCTGATCTGCAGCAAACTTACGATAATTTTTCGAATTTTTCAAATAAAGTTCGATCGCCACGTTCTCATGTTATCTTTTTTCACTCTATTTCTTTTCCAATTAAATGTGAACATGTTTTCCTAAAACGTCGCAAAGTATTTTGTACAGCATATCGTGAATGTTTAACATCTTTTGTCAATCGCAATTTCAGATTTTCTTTGCTTACTAAAAAGTATTATACCTTTGCTGAACCATAAAGTTCTTTACGTTTCGGCGTTTTCTTTAAGAATTACTCTAATTTTCAATATTATCAACGAATTAACACAACATAATAATGGAACTTCCACTAACAAGGTAACTTGACAATATTCATAAAACTCTTATAATGGAAATGAATTAAGAGTTGAGTTGTTTGCCGTTATATTTTACAAACTGAAACAATAAAAGGGTATTTATAATTTACAGATAAACATTTTTGCAGGTGACTACTACTTTTAAAGCTATCTTAAAAATATTTGGGTGCCTAATACTTTTGACAAGGCTTAGTTATATAGTAAGTATTTGTAAAAGCATAAAAAAGTATTTTTGCAAAGTGAGGAATAGCTTCTCATCATTCGCTTGCTTTATTCAAGGTATTAATAAAAGATGACACAGCGGTTTCTGAAATAAGGAGTAAGAAGCATGCGTTTCTGTTACATTGCAGTTAAAATTAAAATGACCTTCATAAGATGAAAGATAAATTATGACTTTATAAAAATGTATATTACTATAAAACAAGAAAATATAGTCGTACCTTTAAATAAACTGGGCTATATTGAGCAAAAAAAAAAAAAAAAAAAAAAAAAAAAAAAAAAAAAAATAAAATAATAATCCAATAATAACAAACTTATGTAACTTCTCCTAAATCAAGCGATCATTTCTGGCGTTGTTGTACAAAAGACGTCTCACCTAGGAAGGGGATGATGTTGCGACTTTAACACAACCTTATTTTTAAAATATATTTGATAGAGCAACTACGAAGGATATTTGAGTTTGGAAAGCGGCGTTACAAGGTGGAACATACTGTATCTACCATCTTTATATAAGAATACAGAGGCTGTTCACACATTTTTTAGACGATGTATATTGTATTCACAAAACTAAATTACATAAAATTCTTGTGTTTTAAATGTTCTATTTGACATCCCTTATTCTGAATATCTTTCGACACCGTAATTTCCAGGATAATAATGCCTTTTTAAGTGGCAGAAGAGGTACTCTATCCCATTCCTCCCGAACAGCTTTCCAGAGTCCTGTTAGGGTTTTGGGACAACGTTTGGATAATGCAGTTTTTAAAAAGTCCGAAAGCACAAAATTCCAAGGTGACACATCGGGAGATTTAGTAGGGATATCAGTGAAGGGTATGGCCTTGATACCAGTTTTTTGTTCCATTTCTTTTAGGAAATTTACAGTGGACTTTGATGTGTGACTGCTAGCTTTGTCCTGACGGAGTCTCACAGATTGATGGCACTGTGGGTAAAGCGATGGTATTTCATTCAGAAAAAGTGGCGATAAAATCTGTTCCTGATAGTATTTGGAGTTAATCTTGACTTTTTTTTTTTTTTTTTTTTTGCATTCTCTTTATTTTAAACTTGCCATTATAAGAAAAACCAGCAACAATCATGAATCCCTTAGAAAAACTTTCTTTCGATTCTTTGAACCATGTACTTAAATTTTTTCTCCCTTTTATGATAATAAATGGCTCTTTTTTTGTTACAGTCATTTAAATAGACCCATGCTTCATATATTGTGATAATTGTTTTCCATTTTTCTTTGGATAAGTGTGATCATATAGAATTCTGCAGCATGTCCTACGTTGAGCGATATGCTTTGGAAGACGACGATGCAAATTGCGTTTTTTCGCTTTCTTAAGATTTAAATCAACGTTTATCATTTTTTTACAGTGGACACCGAGCATTTTAAGGATTTTGCAACTGTCGTTTGACTAGGGGAATTTTCTTTTAACATTAAACAACGTACCTTTGCAATAGTCGAAGATGTCCTTTTTTTCGTTGGATGCTTGTTTGGAATTTTTGTCCCACTTGAGGCTCCAATTTGACGTGTTTTTCCTTTCTTGTTGATGATATTACCTATCGACGCTTTAGATATCACAAAACCATGACTCTCACATCGTGTTTGGATAACGGAGTATGCATATTTCTCTTCGGAAAGAGCGTAAATGTAGCCTTCGAACCACTGCTTTGTTAAATTCGCCATTTTGAATAAAAACAAAACTTTCAAGCCACAGACGATAATTTTGACTTTTAAAAACATAGTACAATTGGAATTCTTTTGCAGCAAGCGGTTTTTTATTACCGCTTACCAAAATCGCCTAAAAAATTGTGCGAACAGCTTGTAGAAAGACGGTGAGTGCTTGTATTAACGTTATGTAATTGTGAAATAACAGCATGCGTATAGGTATTTAATGCAGTGCATAATACAGAGATGATATGGGTATGGTGAAGTGTGGTGAATACAATTGTTTAACCATAGACAATGTGTGTATTGTCCAGCCGCACTAATTATCCATATGACTACACTTCGCAAGGCCTGCAAGGCGCCTTGCCAGACGTTCCTGTGTTGCATGGCTTCCGTGCCTTTTGTGGACAGGAAGTTCATTATGTTTATTATTTCCTTTCTGAGATGTTTGTTCTTGATAGCATATCTTACAAAAAGGTTTTATTTTGCTTTCTGAGTTTGGAACTTTTAGATGATGGTCAGCTGTAAGGGAGCATTTAAATAAAGCAGTGTTCGAGTCTGCCTCTATATATCTCCACATAGGCACTAATCTGAACCTCGAAATTAGTGTCCGTTGAAAGGCCTCCTCCGTGTGAATATATTGTTCGAGGCGATGCGAGAGGGCTTACTTGTTGCATCTCAAAATGTCCTGTTTTGGAATGAGTATTTCGATAGGCGTCGATGTGAAACAAAAAAAAAAAAAAAAAAAAAAATAAAATAATAATAATAATAAAAAATAATAAATAAATAAATAAATAAAAAATTGTACACTTAATTTATTTTTACGATTGATCAATTTGATTTGATGAACGAGTTACAGTAAAATATGCTGTTATGAATAAAAGCGACTCCCAGATATTATCACTGCTATTAGCCCATACACTTTTCCTTTCCGTTTTGTATTTTTTAACAGTTAGTTTCAGTTTAGTTGATGGCTTATGATAAAAATTTTTCCATCGTTCAGCAGTAAATAAACGTAAGGTGTTTTAAACGAGGCCAGGCTAACTGAGCATTAACTACATTAAGAATTAAATATTTAAGAATAAATAAATACTTATTTTATTAACTTGAAGCTAAAACTATATGCTTTCAAATTTCTGGAAACAAATTGCCGAGTAAGTAGAAAATACGTGCTTTCGGATTATAAATATCGTTTTAAAATTAAAATAGTGACCATTTTACAGTTACTTATAACTGACAAGCGCAACTTTTATTAGGTAATTAAATATAAATAAACGATGCATAAACTCACTCTTATATTTATATTCAGACGAAACCCTATAAACATACCATTCAGTAAGAAGTGCATGCATTCATTAATTTCAAAAATCATGCATTTTATTTCAACGCATTTATACTCATTTTGTTACATTAGTACATTATAAAAATAAAAATATTTTTCTTTTAGGAATGGAACGCAGCCGGAATCCAGTATGCTGGTTAGTGAGTAACTGCAATACACCAAGCCGTAGAGAAGTGTACGTCCAAGAGCTTAAGAAATATATTAATGTAGCTGTTTATGGAAAATGTGGTACTAACAAGTGTCCAAAGACAACATCAAAAGAGTGTTACAGGTGGTTATCCAAAAGGTGCAAGTTCTATCTTTCCTTTGAAAACTCCATCTGCACGGATTATGTCACAGAGAAATTGTTTTATGCGCTGATGAATGACATGGTTCCCGTTGTCAGAGGCGGAGCCAATTACTCCGAATACTTACCTCCTCATTCCTTCATCAATGCAAATGAGTTTTCTAGTCCAAAAAGGCTAGCTGAGTGGCTAGCTTATCTCGACAGAGACGAAGAACAATACCTTTCATATTTCAAATGGAAGGAGAACTATGAGGCAAAAGACGCCTCATACACATGGCTGTGTGATTTGTGTGAGAAGTTGCATGTCAGTTCAACTGAAAGTATTAAACCGTACAAAAATTTCATTTCATGGTGGTTTGATAAATCAAATTGCGTATCGTTATGATCGCACTTCATATTTCTCAACAGACTGACATTTATCCATCATGCTTAAGGAGATACAATAAATTCTTTAATTTCGCAGAAATAATTTATGCATCTGTAGCTTTTAAAGCTAACGAGCTATTCAAAATTTAAAACCTTTTCTAATTCTATATTTATTCACAATATGTAGTTTTTTTAACTTGTCGTCTGCTTACTCAGATCTATGTTAGACCCAGCTTGGATGTTGATCTTTCTCTTCTTGGATTTAAATCTCTCGTTTAATCTTGGCAGATCTTTAAATTTTCTTGGATGTTAATCTCTCTTTTCTTTTCTGTTTATATACATCAAACTGAAAGCTGTCATGTGGGGCTGCTACAAATCCATTTGGTGTTACTATTACTGCTTCTGATAGTATTGCTGTTATTACTTTTTTTTCCTCCTTCAGTGTAACTGCCAGTAAATAGCGATGCATTTTTCTTGTCGACGGATCAGGTTTTCCTTACACTATAGGATCCTATGCATTTGGTTGTGTGTTCGACATAATGATCAGTTGCAATATCAAACTCTTAAAATATTTATAAATAATCTGTGAAAGGCTTAGTAATCATTAATGACATTACGAATGATATCAGTAACATAAATTATTAATCAATTGGCTACTTGCATCGAAGCAGCAATGATTTAGCTGTGGGCTTTCAAAGATACGTGTAGTCAGTCTTTATTGTTCGACGATAGAGTTATTGCCAGGAACAAGTTTGAGAGAGTTGAATCTAACTGAAAGTTTCGGAGTATTCTGTGTACTTGTACTGTTTGGTACATTTTATAAACTGAATTAGCCGCGCCCCTTTAAGTTTTCTACTGTGGTTTTGATAATTTGATTTGCTGTATTTAAAGACGGTATCAGAAGAGCTGCAGGATCACTGATCCAGTGACTTCGCTAAAATTGCGCGCCTTTAATAGCAAACGCATTGCAGATCGCTGAGATCTTTTGACTGTGGTCATGGAAGTTACGACACAATTAGAGAAGTTATTACTTCTTCAGCATCACAGTACGTTCCTTATTACCTCTTGATGCCTCAATTGTTTGACGCGTGCCTTTTAATTTCAACTTGTGTGGCGAAAGTACACAAATCGCAGTCCAATCTGTTGAAACCCCACCAATCATTATGGTTCATCTGTCTGATACCAAGTGATATGTGTGTTCTAATAACGATCAAGGCCTCTGCGTTAGGAAAAAGTTAAAGAACGGTATTTCGTCGCCAGAAGTGTCCCCGAGCGACTGAATAAAAATGGGGTTTTCAAATACTATTAGTAGTATAATGGGCCCGAATTTTGAAAACATACGCCGAAATTTAGCAGTGATTATATTAAAAGGTGCCCAATAACTAAACTTTCAAAGGTTGTAAAACTAGGTACCTAAATAATTTCTGCGATATTAAACGGAGCTCTTGAACGTTTGATGTACAGTTTCCAAAATGAATTGTGAAATTTTAAGTGCAAGAACACATTGAGAAATTAATATTTTGAATACGTTGCTTTTAACTTTACATTAAAACGAGTGGTTGGCTGCAAGTACATGGTTCAATGAAAGAAATAAATCATATATACGGCCCACCAGCGACCGAGTGGTGAAGTTGCTGAACGCTGGTAGTTCATTCTGGGGCTTGAATCTCTGTGAACTGGCTATCTGCATGGACGTTTTTGTGGTTTAACCCATGTGTAACATGTATATGAGCCAGTTTCTCTTAAAACGTACTTCACGAAAGCTCCCTCCTCTTAGGAAGATAGCCCTCGCGTGATTTGCCATAATCAAACCAAACCATGTACATAAGGCCTTCACACGACGACATGTTTTTATTACGTGATAACTTTGGATAAAATAATACGAAATAGTCTAAATGCTTCTATAAAAAAGTAACTGAGAAAACTTTTTTTTTTTTTTTGTCGGATTAGCTAAAGAAGAATAGTTCTGTAGTTGTGCTAACAAATTATCAAAATTATCTTAATTTTTTGGACTGTGTGCAAAGTAAGTCAAGGTAAAATAATCAAGCTTTCGAAATACAGATTTCTAATAGATACATTTTGCATCAGCAGACATTCATTTAAAATTTATGGTTTTAATTATCATGTGCAAAAATGCTAAAAATTCCAAATTTTGTGTTTTGAAGGAAATTTAGTTTTGTGCAATTCATTCTTTCTTCAGACGAACATGAATTAATTTATGTAATTTTTAACAATTTTGTTAAGTTTCACAAATCCTGAAAACTCTGTAGTAGAATAAGGAATAAGTTACTAATTGGATTTTCCTTCGTAGAGCTTCCGTATAAAATTTGTATAAAAGTGATGTTCAGAAATGTATCTGCGACCAACAGCTTAAGATTTCTTTAATTCTACAATCATTTCTCCGTGTGTGAAAGTATATCATTACCTGATATTCTCGTATAATTTGTAATTTATTTTAAAAGCAGTCAAATTCGTGACATATATTTCGTGTATGTATACGCAATGGAAATATATTCATTTTTTGAATTAATTGTTTCACACAGTTGAATACAAATTCATCAAACATTGCGAATTTTTCTACCCATTTATGTAGAAAAGTAATAATTGTTATTGAAAGAATTTTCAAAGAACATACTAATTCTTAAATGTTCAATCTAGTAATTTGTAATTTGTATATTATAAATATATTATGGTGTGTATTTGAAAATAGTAATATTGCATATAATAAATGTATTTTCATTAGGCTTCTATGGGCAATTTTCTATATCAAATCATGACTGAAATGGGCAAAGTACTTTGTGTCCTGCTGGAGCAAAGTGGACGTATAAAGGTCGGATTATATTGCATATCATTTAGACATATCAGAGACAGTCAGAAACTGTTGCAATAGTAGCTAATGAAAACAGATTTTATAACACTTTTATTTTTTCTCCATTGGTACTTTCTAGAGGTATACTCGTCGTACTAGTCAGAATTAATTTTGGATAGTTATATATTTATCAGTTTTTGCTTAAAAAAATGTGAAATTTGTTCAGATGAATTAATATATTTAAGCTATCTGCATTTTATTTACTAATATTAGATATTTTATCGCTGATTAATAAAATGATTAGCGAATGAAAAATGAGGTACGAAAGCAGTCACAGCTGGTTTAGACTTTCTTTTAAAGATACCAATTCGCTTTTACGTTTTAACGAATTGGATTTGCTTTAAATGAAAGTCTTTTACATTCATAAAAATTTACCTACATGCGCATACTATTCCCAGTTTCTTACATACATCACATATTATTCTCAGTTTCTTACATAACCCTCGCACATACTATTCCCAGTTTCTTACAGCACATGCATACTATTCCAGTTCTTTACAGCGCATGCATACTATTCCAGTTCTTTACAGCACATACATACTATTCCAGTTCTTTACATACAGTGCATACTATCCCCAGTTACTTAACGTATAGCACATACTGAGCGCCGCCTGAGATAACCACTGATTTGACTTTGTTGTAAAAATCTTACAGTGTTAATAGTCATCCTGGCAGAAGGGAATATTTCTTCCTTGTAAACATATAAAAAAAATTTACATGGGCATACAAGGCCTGTGTATAAGCATAATATGTTAATTATAAACATTGTCTTGTACAAATTACATGTGATAGTTACATAAAATCATGACAGTTATGTGTACATTTAAACATTACCTGAATTCATATTTACGATAGTTTTACTGAGATAATCAAAGTAAACTTGTAATTCATTTACACGTTGACTGGATTTTCAATGTCATTTTAAATTGCTTTAAAATATTATTTTTATCAAGTACATACAAACTGGATAGTAATATGCTTACGTTACAATAGTTTTGCTCTTACAGTCCTGTTACTATTCTACGGGGTGAGCTATTTTTCTAGTGTTGATTTTCAGTTGTTGTAGTATTTTGAATTGCTATTAAAATTATGCTACGAAGATATAATTCTCAAGGAAGGGGGAGAATTTCTTAGTACCTTGCTGAGCATAGTCTGATCACCCCCTTTATTTTAGTTTTCGTCTGCGTGTTGCCACAGGTATTCTCCGCCCATTGTGGCCAGTATTCACTACTTGGCATTTTTAAATGCAGTTTTCAGTATTTTAATATATACTCTTTCTCTGTTTGGTATATTTAATATATACGCTCTCACTGTCAGTATTTTAATATATACGCTTTCTCTGTTTAGTTATTTTTCAATTAGACAGAGTGTTTAGAGTTTGACTTGCCTTGGTAGCATAAACTCATATCAGACTCCTAAAAGACGTGTGCCAAGTTATCGCTGTGTCTGAAATAACAATGGAATCTTGAAAAGGTTTTAAACAACCGTTTCTTTAAGATCAAAATTTGAATTTAAACGCACGTCTCGTGCTTATATAATCAAACTATCATTTATGATGATGCAACTTAAAGCAAGAGTCAAATTCAAAATTTAAAGATAGGCAAGTAGTCAAAGTCTACACAATTTAATTTAAACCTAAAGTGGGCTCAGAACTTCTCACCGCGTAAACGAAACCCTCGATCCAAACCAAAATCTTCGATTTAAATACTCATTTACATTTCTGGTGAGGAAACGGAAAAGGAGAAGAGATAGTAAAGGTTTAAATCATAATAACTAGTAATGAAAGTATTAAAATATACAGCAGTTCAAATTCTTTCTATGCATGATTTGACGTTTTGTATTCATGTATTTTTCGAGCATATTGATTGTCAAATTTTCCTGTCGGAAAATATGCTGGCTAGCTACGACATCTGTAAAACAGTTGTTCGAGGAATATCCAGGGGTACGACCGGAAGTTAAAACTTATTAACCAAACATCAGGAATGTCCAGGCCAGAGTTCCTGTGTAGAATCCATTAATTCTACATCGTAAGTTTACTTCATGAGGTGGAGAAATGTGTAGAAAAAAGAATAATAATGGAAAGGTGTTATAAAATGCCTAGAAGTTAAGAGGTGAAAAATTGCAGAGTGTTTGAATTTTATAATAATTTTTGGAGGGTATATTTCTATGATGTAATTAAAAACTGATGTACACAGTACCATAATGCGTCTACAGAATTTTAAGACTAACTTCATACAAAATCGAAAGGCGAAGAAATTACAGGATTGTATATCGAAGGCTAAGGCCTTCGATATACAATCCTAGTCAATCTATGCAGCATGCATATAATAGCTGCTAAATTCTGTCATTTCTCTTTTGAAATATTATTTTATATCGCGATTTTCTGAGTCTCTTTTTCATATTCATTGGTTTGGAAATTCTTTCTTCAGGCTTCTCTGCTTTTGGCAACTGTTTTCCAGTTTTAGATCTTCAGAATGTTTAGGTCACTTTCAACACAATCGATTCATCTGACCGGGAGTTTACCCCGAGGTCTGGTTCCCATGGGCTTTGGCAAAAAGATTTTTTTTCAACACCGATCTTCATGTATTCTGGCCAATGACTAGCCCATTTAAGTCTCTGTCGTGTGCTAGTAGCATTTTAAAACATTTCTGAATCTCTTGAGAGTTGTTAAAGTAATGATCTTTAAGAAACTTCCATTCAGAGAAGAGAAAGCAGATGCCAAATCTGCTGAAAAAGGGAAGTAGTTGAGAATTGTGACACTTTTCTTTGCTAGGAACTGCTTGATGAAAATGGAAGTGTGTGATGGCGCATTGTGGTGGACAGAAGACTAGATAATAATGAGGATAAAACGAGAAAAATTTCTCTTTTCAATGTGTTATACGATAACTGTAAGAGGAGTAGCTTTATTCATGTTAAGTTAATCAGATGTTATTCTGGAAGACAGAAGACGAGTTTTCATCAGTTTTGAGATGGCGAAGGGCGGGCATTGCTGGGCTCATCATCAGGATTTTCTTGTACATCACAAATCGTCCGTACTCCCAATCAGCCCCAAACGAATAATTGATTGCCGATACCTTTTGTACCAGATTTCAGATGTCTATAGTGCTGTTTTTCCAATTCTACCAATCAGCATTTTCATACGCATTACAGAATTCTCCGTACCGCCGAAAATTTTGAGTAATTTTGATGCTTGATGCCCAGTGTTTCTGCATATTTCTGTTGTCTCTGCTACTGTTTTTCCCACTCTCTTAAAAATTGTATTCCTAGTCTTTGCTCAGCTTCGGAATCTATTGCAAAAATTTTCAATAAATCGGAATAAATGATTAATTTCGTAGAAAATTTTGTTTTTAAGTAGACGTTATTTTAGTCGAAGCAAGAGCAGGTATCAGAGTAACAAAGGCTGTCAATTATCATTGGACGTCTTTGCTCCAATTTTAAAAGAATTTAGTCCTAAAACTTTGTAACACTGTGTAAAATAAAGAGAAAATAAGCAGGATATTTCTTTTGATGTTAAAATTCACCCGTAATTAGTAAGTTAGTAGTTAGTAAGAAGCAAAGAATTCGTGAGACATATCCAAGGCAGCTTTAAGGAACGGGGCTCACGTCATCAAAGTAACCACTGACCAAAAATTACTGTTATTGAATAATATTTGTGATAAAGTATCATTTTTAGATAGAGTAGCATCTTTTCTGAATTATCTTAAAATTTTTATTTTCACACAGCAAAATCTTAATTTTGTTATTCCGCACATTTTCATTCTCTTTCACCTCTAACTTGTATTTGGTCGTATTTGAATTTATTACAAAAAATAGTAATCCGCCACTTTCCATTTAAGCTCAGAATCTTGTAGTAATAATAAATCAATGAATTTGTTATGAAGGAATCGTGTAATATTTGACACACGTGAGAAAATATTTTTATTGCACGGCAAATACATTTATACCTGCAGTTTTTATGTTGAATATATATATTTTCTAAAATTATTAATTTTTGTACAAATTTTGATTTTTATATTTCGTTATGTGTTCAAATATTTATTATATTGCCATTATTGAAATAAAGATATTATTTCATGTAAATGTTGTGGAGTCATCTCAGAACATGTAACATTTCCTAAACTACCTTTACGCGATTTATAAGAGCAGGAGATTCTAATATTCTACAAATGAAATATTACTCTAAAGCATGTATTACACCATACTACGCCACTAGCCGTTTACAGTTTGAATCATTTTGGCTATCGGAATATTTTGAAATGGACATCAATTATCTGTCACAGTGTTTCGCAAATCAACCTCGTGCCCCACATTTATAAAACTGCTCTGAAAGAAAGTGAAAAAGGCAGGAGATTTTTAGGTTAAAATAGTGCATTAATGAAGTCTAGGTCAGTCCATAAATTCGTGCGCGTTTGTTGGTAAATTTTTTAATAATATAAAAAAACGCAATTTAACATTTTAATCAATTATATATTTTCCACCATTATCTACAATGTTTCGCCGTCTTACAGGCAGCTTTTTGAAGCCATTGCTGTAGAAACACACTGGTTTTGATGCAACAAAAAAAAAAAAAAAAGTTCCTGTTTAGAAAGTTCATCGTGTACATCCTGTTTAGAATTTAATTTTTTCCCAGTAAAAAATTTTGTCAGGCACAAAATAAAAAGGGGAAATCACTAGGGCAGCAAGCAGGATGTGGCAAAAACTCCCAATTAGATTCACTCATTTTTTGCATCGTTCTTCGAGCCGTATGCGGTCTAGCGTTATCATGATGAAACAACATGTTCTTGATATTCACCAATCGTGGGCGTTTTTTGATCCATTCTGAGTTTAGACTGCAAGTTATTCACTGTAAACTTCTGAATTACGTTGATTTTGGTTAAACGGTTCAAAAACGTTCTGAACGGGGTCATCATCAACGGGATTTGGTATGATAGCACTCCTACTGAATCAAGAACGTTGGACGGGCGTCAGTTTGCATCGTCATTTAGAGGATATCTCTTTTCGATTTGCATGCCAAGTTAAACAAAAATTTAAAATCGTTTATAAACTTGCTTATTGTCACCAAACAGTGCTAAATTTTATAAAGCCACAGAGTTACCTCATTTGATTTTAAAGATTTATGATTTATTGCATGTGTGTATCTATCTGAACTACACTGCTGGCCACCGAATTGCAACACCAAGAAAGACAAGAGACATCACAAGAAAATTTATTAGTAGATAAATGTTGACCAAGTATCAAATGACTTCTGTGAAGTGTGGTTCCTTCCAGAATCAGTGGTAAAAAGTAGCGCCCCCCCCCCATTGTTGGAAATCACTGCCACACGCCTTGGCATTGATCAAAGAGACTTCGGATGTGTTCTTGGGGACGCAGATAAGCAGCTTCCACACTTTGCCAAAGTGATCTGGTGTGGCAGCTTGGGAGTAATCTGGGTCAATCGTTCACAACCATGGACCACATGTTTTCTATCGGCGAAAGATCCGGAGAGCGAGCCGGCCAGGGAAGAGTTCAATCTGGCGATGACGAAGAACCCTTGGGACAATGCGTGTCACATTTGGTCGTGCATTATCCTGTTGAAATATGGCTGTGGGCAAGGCTGAAGGTAAGGAAGGACAATGGCTCAAACCTCGGAGAGTAGCGCAGGACGGTTTAAAGTACCGGAAATCGTATTAGGGAGTTCGAGAAGGAATCCAATACCGCCTCATACCATAATAACCGG